CTAACCTTCTCAAATATAAATTCTAAAATGAAAACATCCCTTAATATGTTATCTTTTCTCACTATTTTACATTTTTCTAGCCCATATAAGTCCAATTTTTTTGAGAAAAAAAGGTAGTCCTAGTCTTGTCCGAAAATCTTATAGGTTGCCGGGCCGATATACAGAACTATACTTTCCTGCGCGAATGGAAAAAAAATTGACCGAATATTTTTTTAAAGGTAAACGGTTATCGTCGCTGATCAAAACTTCGAGAATGTTTTAGTTATAAAACTTACAATAAAATTACATAATCATTATCTTATTTTGTATATATTAAATAAGATATCAAACTGGTAAAAAAAAAATTATTTGGTTTACTTTAAAATTTTGAGTTTTATTTTAAAAATAGATTTTCAATTTTGAAATTATGCTCATCTTACATAATTATAAATAAAAAAAATTATATCTATAGAATAAAATCTATATCTAAATATATTTTTAAAATGTATCTAGATGTACTTTTTAGGTCATATGGTTAAAGTTATGTAGATGATGGGAAGTTTGACCCCCTCCGCCATAGAGAAGGGGGATTTTGTGGCGTCATAACATTTTTATAATGATTGATATCTAGACAATTTGCTTTCATTTATTTTAAATTGCTAAAACACCCCTATTTAATTTTCTATTTACATATAATTATTTCAGAAAAATTCTTCTTCTACTTACAAAAGTAAAGTTAAAAAATCCAAAAATTATACGAGTAAGCATTACTATTGGCACATTTAATTTTTTAATTAAATCTTCGCCTAAAAATTTTTTTTATAAGTTATATATAAAAATTGAGAACTGGACGCTTTCCAGAGACGCTATAATTCGTGAGGGATAGATGTTTGACATTTTTATCTAAGCGTAAAAGCGCGTTTAGTTAATATCACTTTAAACAATCGTTTTACCTTAGCGCTTGTAAGTATAGATAATCTATTGTAATTGTTTTTAATATTTTGGTATCACATTTTCGAAATATGCCAACCACAATTCTATTTGAATATTTTTTATGCTGCCACCAAATTATAAAAGTTTTAAAGCTAAAGCTATAACTAGAGACATAGAGTCTCATATTTCGAAATGCGATAAAATGTTGATTTTTTTATTAAATAATGTAATTTTTTTCATTATGATTGTCTATATACTGTTTATTAAATAGATTGGAGCATTTAACTAAAATTTATACTAGGTAGGCATTATACACAGGGGAAGACTGGCGACGCTACGGCATCGTGGGCATTTTTTTATAGCGGCCTCATTTATATGGGGGCTTCGCTCCCATACCCCCATTTGTGAGATTCGGCCCGCTTTTGCCCGGTCTTCGATCGGGTTCCCTTATATGGCTTCTTCGATTTAAATGATTTTTATAACTTCTTATTTTTGAAAATAAGTTCAAAAGATTTACATTTTTAGTAAAAAAGAATAGTATATTATACGATAATCATATATTTTATTTTTAAAAAATGCACATCTAAAATCATATTCACTACCAATATAAAATAATATTCATTGCACATATATATTTTACATTAGATTTATAACGATATTGCACTATAAAATCAAATCATATATTATATGTTAAATATAAAAAAATACATAATCAATATATCAAATCAATTAATTTCACACATATAAAATTATTGCAGTTATACAATATTACAGCGTATAAAATTGCTGCACTTATAAAATCAGGCACCGATCATTTTGTAAATAGATATTAATAAAATTCAAATAAAAGAATTAAGGAAATATATAATTTTTACATTAATAAATCTCTCATTAACTTTGAACCTTTGCGCAAATATACAAGAATATCTTCTAGTTCAATCTGCGCTAATGGTTCTCATTCAACTGACATCATTAAAAACGCTTCTAATTTTTCTTGGTCATCAGCTTATTTTAATAATTTTTAATTTACTAAATGTTTTCTCGCAATTAACCTACATAAATGACAAAGTTAAAATGTATTCATATGCCAAAAATAAATTAGTGTCACTTGTATGCATATTGCATCTTTTAAAAATTTCATACACGCATATTAAACACTTGTTACACTTATTATCACACTCTGAGTTATTATCATATTGTAATATTCCATTTTCTTCATTTGGCTCCTCACTTGTACATACGATCATCGTCCGTTTCATTTAATTCTGCTACCAAATCTTTGAATACACTGGCAAATGAACATTATTCGTTAATATATATATTTTTACTAACTATTTCATCAAAATGTCTACGATGCAAATATTGCATATTCAAAATAAGCTCTCAATTCGCAGAGAGCCGTTCGGACAAGCTGTTTATAATTTGATCAATTATAGGATGAAATACTCCGAACCTATAAAGATCAATCGATTCTTGAGGACGTTTATCTTGGCATTTGTCACTATATATTCTCTTCGCTCGTCCTATTTGATTTTTTGGCAGATCATTCTGTACCCTGATACTCTCCGGGAGCTTTAAATATTAAAATTAGAAGCCATTTTATTGCTTTATTTTGAATCGATGTAATAATCGATGATACAGAAGACTTATCATCTTCTATCATTTTCCATGCTGACAAAGTACCTAATTTTTTAGTTTGAAGATATGACAGTGGCCCAATTATTTCAAAAATTTCCAAATATATTATAGCTCTACTTAGAGTCTTAAATTTATATAAATTATCAAGTTCTTGTCTCAAATGATTTATTATCTATTATAAATTTAAGTGCATTTATCGTTATTGGGAGCAAGCTCTCTTTACCTTATATCCTCTAAGGGGTTTTTCACTTGCCCACCACTTTATCTAACCTATTCTCAACTTATTTAGGCCCAGATATTCTGTTTCACCCAAGCATCCATCCTTTAATCTGATTCACCGACCTGGATTATATTTGATTTCAATGAATTAAGAACAAGAAATGTTGGCTATATTATTTCTACAATAAATCAATGTATAAAAATGTAAAATAATGAATTAATCAAAACTTAGCTTTTACTCTACTCAAACAGAAGCGTTTTTACTTCATTTGGAAAAAAACAAAAATAAGAACATGGTAATGATCTATAGCGTCAATCGACGTTACTGGTATTTTATGCATTAAATTATAGTAAACGATATGACAATTAGAGATCTGCAAAGTTAGGCACGCCCGTACCCTACCCGAGTCCGACCCGCGGGCCGGGCTCGGGTCTAATTCTATTTAAAATAATCAGGTTCGGGCCGGGCCGGGCCTAATATTTTTAAAAAAATTCGGGCCGGGTCGGGTCGTATTTTGGAAATTTTTTTAAATATATCTAAATTTATCAATTTTATATTGAATTTTTTATGTAAAATAAAAATTTTTGATATTATTTATTGAAACTAAACGCCATATAACATATGTCTTTTATTTTGAGTAATTATAAAAATTAATTTCTATATTTAAATAAATTGGGGCCCAGCCGAGGGCCGGCAAAACCTTTTTAAAAAAAATTTCGGGCCGGGCTTGAAAAATTAGGCTCGATGCAGATCACTAATGACAATTGTCAAGGACTATGATATTCAAATCATAGAGATATCATTAAAACTAATAATTATATTTTTTTTCTAATCGGCCTCTTTTTTGATATTTTCCTCTGATCGGCCTCAAAAATCGACATTTTCTCGCGGCCTTGTGGGCAAAATGTCTACCTGATCATATGACCAGTCCGCCCCTGATTATACATATTGACTAGGCTCTAGAATTAGTGCTTTTAAATGTTTGGCAAATTTCACTTCTAGAACTACGTCTTAATATGAGATTCAGATTTATACAAAATATAACTCGATTCAGTATAATGAGATTTTAACTATTTTACGTCTATATCTATTCAATAAATCGAAAAGAAGAATTGACCTATAAAAATCTTGGAATCATAAGATTTAAAAATATTTCGAGTCAGGGAAAAAACCCCTTATAATGTATATAAATGTCGATTTTTGATTCGCGTTTTAAAATGAAATTTAAGACTCAACTTACTGTAGTATTTTTTAACAACTCTGATTTAATCACTTGTAAGCCATTTTTCCATGGGTATAACTGGAGTTTTACACATAGAATAAAATTTTAAATTTAATTTAAATATATACTATAAAACTAAAAAAAAAAGAAGGGACAAAATGAAATATATTTTATTAAAAAAATGATATATGCATACTTTTAATAATATAGAGGTCTCCTCTATATAATAAATACTTGTATTTTAAGTGTTAACCTAGGTCAAGTGTGGTTTTGTTATAATTTTTAAATATTTTTTATTTTAAAAGATTGCTCAAAATATAACTAATTTTAATTTTTTTTTGTCTATATAGCATTTTAGTATATGTATCTTAAAAAGAAAAAATAAAATAGCGATAAAAGTGTGGAACAATTAAAACAAGATCTATTTTTTTAAAGTTAAATTCTTTGAAAATAATATTTTAAACTATAGCCAGGCTCGTGCAAACGGAGGAGGCGAGGCAGCAGATATGGAGCGCCTAAATTGGACTGATTTAGGGGTTATCAAATTTTATTCCTATTATACATAATTTATGCTTAAATTTATTTTAGAAAATCATTTCTTACAATTCATATTTTAAGCCTTTTATTGGCGAATCCCATTTTATAAAATGGCGAGCGTTTTCTAAACGGCTGATGAATTTATTCTTGTTCTGGGCAACTAAAAAGTCTTAGAACAGCCCTAAACCATAGCATTATTTTTGGGTTTACAAAGGGTCAATAATAATTAACAAGATAATATTCATTAATTATTTTATTATTAAACAAAAAATATATCTTTTTCGACTAATCATATTATTCAGATCGGTTTTAGAGTTAGCTTTAATGTTTATTAGTTTAACATGAAATTCAATGATGCACAAAATAATCAAGCCTCCAAATATAAATAAATTAAATACTGGTGATAAATAATTCATTCCTGTAAAGATGTATGTGTATATACAGAAGATTTTGCATTTAAATATATTTTACCTTTTTCTTGTAAGGGAATATCGTCCAAATGTCCCGTTTCCCCGTATTTGCATCTTTTGATCTGATGTTTAAGAGGATTTTTTGCGAAACGCTTATTGTATTTAACATAAGAATACGTTTTCTTAGTTATATTAACAACATTCTCATTTTTGTTATCATCATTATTAGAATCATAATTATGAAAAATGGGTTTCCTTTTAAACCTCATATTAGCAGAGATATTTGTAAAATTAGATTTCTTATTGTGTGCTGTCGAGGATATCATAGATCTATCGTAGACCTTTGAAGAGCAGAATACTCGTGTTTGGCTGGGAGATGTATCTATGGATTTGTTTGTTCTATAATGGTTTAAACGATTTTCATGGGTATTCATGATTTTGCAATTACTACCAAAAATTAGGGCCTCTATGGAAAACGCGTTTGCCTTAGAACTCAGTTGAGAGGTTATGTTGAATGTGGAGGATGCTTGTTTGGAAATGGTAGTTCTCTCATCGAAGGCGTTGATGGGTAGATCCGGGAGAAGATATGGATCTAATTTTTTTAGCATAGAATCATTGGTAGTGGGATATAATTTGTTAAGCCAATAATTGCCATATTGGAAGTGAGAAGAATTCATTCGATAGCGCATATGGTTTTAAAATATCTAACCATTATTAAATCCTAATAGGCATTATTATGCGTTAGAAAAAATTTAAGCTTTTTTTTTAAAAAAAAAAGAATATTATTTATTACTAAAATGTTATATATTTCATCCAGTTATCAAAAGAATTATTTGTTTTTATAATGTTACATAATATATATTTTTTTAAAAAACAGTAAAAAAAATGAAATAAAATGAAATTAACATTAAATTATAATTTAGATAAGACCGAATATATATTATATAAAATTTATAAAGTATATATTCATTATTCAATAACAACTTAATATTATATAATATTATAATTTATATATATTTATTTTATTATTAACTTATCAAATTTTGATCTGTATATTATAAATATAAAGCAATTAAATATGATATATAAGTATGATTATTATATTATTTTTTTAGATGAGAATAAATTAATATATAATATATAATTTATTTTTTGTAATTATATACTCAAATTTAAGATAATTTTCACTAAATATTACATTAATTAATCAAAATTTACTTTTTTTTCTTCTTAAAATAAATTTTATTTTATTTATAAAATTATATAATTTTATAATTTATTTATTTTTCTTATTATTTGGATTTGATTTTTAAATAAAATATAAAATTGTATTTTTTTTGCTAAATAAATTTGATAACCTTAATAAAGGTTTTTCTTTTTTTTAGTATTTTTCTAATTCTTTCTTTTCTAGTACCCTCTCCTAGATCAATGAAATTAGCAAATTTCTCGTTGAATTAATGAATTAATATAACAAATGTGACTGTCCAACGAAGAGCATAAATAAAATTAGTATAACCAATTTGCGTTAAAATAACTTTAAATCATAAATTAGGCCAGAGTGTTCGTAACTAAATTTCATTAAGTTAGGACGGGATATAAAATAAATTTTCCGATAAAAAAAACAAAAATTATATTTCTTAGCATTAGATATTAAGACTCTCTTGGGAATCGTTTTGGACAAAAATGATAAAATATAATAAGATATAAAAAAAACTTCAGTGAAACCTCCTAAGGTGGCCACCTACTCCTTTACCATATAATATAACCATTAGGGTTGTTCCCTGCCAAAATCCAAAATTGTAATATCAAAATGTTGTATATATTGGACAATCTTTATGTTGACCAGTCAACATACCTTGAGGAATTATTTTATAGAAGTTTCAATCTAGATACTATTAACGAAATAAAATGAATAACAAATTATATTTTTTTCATCGAAATATTCTTTTTCCCTATTTTTTATAAATTTTTATAAATATTTTTTTTATAATTTTAATTAAATTTCAAAATTTTGCAATAAAGTTTCAAAAAATTTAAATTTATTTTAGGTAAATATAAATATTAATTTCGTCAAGGTTATAAAATAAATAAAATTATTTTCCCTAATGCTTATTAGTCCAATCTAAAAATTAAACACAACAATTTAATGACTTTATTTCTTTAAGAACGATATTTGAATCAATTTGCATAAAGTGCTAATATGCTTTAAAATATGTTATAATCATCTGACTTATTAATTAAATATATTTATTTTTTCCCCTCGATATATGGACTGGTTATTTTACAAAATTATTTTATATAATATTTTTTATAAAAAACGAGTAGTTTAAAATTTTATATATAAATTAATTTTTTTTTATTTGTGAATTGCGACAGTGACAGATATGGTAGAATTTGGAAACTTATATTTTCAAATGATTTCGTCATTTTTCATTAATACTATTTTTTATTTGTTTATGAAACATTCCTTGTAAATTAAAATTAAAATTAAACAATTTAACAAAATATTGGCAAGAATAAGTATTATTTATTTATTTTTAATAAAAATGCCAATCATTTTTTAAAATACTTTTCATTTATTTTTTTATTTTTTTACAGATAATTTATAAATTTGATTGATTTGATGATGGTTGATTTATTATATCAATTTTTTAAAATAATTCATTGTTTAATTTGAAAAGTGACGCGGGAATGAAAAATTACTGGGCATCTTTAAGAAAAGGTATGCAAAAGCATACTCGCCCAAAGGGCCTATATTAATATTAAGCACGTCAAAATATATGCTCTATTTAAAAATGTTATTTTTGAACATCTTGGACTAAATAAAGAAAAATTAACTTTTTATGGCCCTCCAACGCCATTGTGGAGATACGATAGTGCAAGAATAATGTTTTAAGTAGGGTAGAAACTGGCGAAATAGGGGCAATATTCCAAAGAAGATAAATCTAAAAGAAAAACTAGCACACCATTAGAGCCCAATTTTAAGAATAGTTTATCGTTAAAAACCCAATAAAAATTTATTAAATCCAACAAATTTTTATTATATTGTGGATATTTATATCGCAAAATTATTATTTAAGATTATGCGTTACACTAGTAGTTTATAAAAGAACTTGCAATGTACTGAAAAATTTAACTATAACTAATACTTTAGAATTCTATAATAATGTAACTTAACTGAAATTACTTACCTATTTTTATCAACACTATCTGTTGTCTTTAGTTAATTTCGGGAAGGTGTAAGACCACTTTTTACCAGTTATTGACAAAAAACAATTTTTCTTCTCTTATCTAAAAAAAGTAATTTCGGGTTTTTTTTGCTTTGAACTAAAAATAATAATCTAGATTTTCTGAAACTTCTAATATATAATCTAGTTATAGCCTATCGAATACACCTGTCCTCAGTTTAGCTTGTATAGAAAAGCAGCTAAAAATAATTTAAAATCAAATATTATCCCTTAAGAAAAGGGTAAGAATTGATAAGAAAAGGCTGCGATAGTAATCTCATCTCCGTATATATATATAAGGAATTATTCGATTCATATTTTATAATTAACAAATGGTAAATATTTGAAATATTAATAAATATTCAAAATTATTCCTAAATATTTTGAATTATTCATAAGTATTTAAGATGTCCCTTCAAAACTTTTTACTTTTTTTCCATGTCTATATTCGATTTTTAAAATTTTTCATTTTTTAAAATATTTTAAAGAATTTAATTTTCGAATCGAATGTTTGGCGAATCAAGAATAATGTTTTATTATTTGTAAAGGAACAAAGAATCATTCAAATCATAGGAATCGTACGAATGGACATAATAAAAATAATGCAGATATTTGATTCGTATTTTTGTGTATATCTCAGTAAAAGCAACTTTTTTTATTCAAAATAAGAGTATACCTAAGGAGAAATCATTTAAAAAATGGGTAAGGCGATAGTTTAATAGATGTTATTAATTTTTTTTCATTTAAAGTCATTAATTGAGACCGTTATTTTAAATTTAGAAATCTGATTTTGCCGGAAATGCATCCCAATAGGTGTATAATACCCACCCTATAAATTTCAGACAATTTTATAATAAATCTTTGAAGAAATATTAATTTAAAATAAAAATATGGAAAAATTATGAAGAAATTAATATATATTAAGGTTTCTTCCAAAAGTTGGTCATAAAATTGTCTGGAATTTATAGGGTGGTTCTACACATATTGGAATGTCTATCTGGCAAAATTAGGTCTTTAAATTTTATAAAAAGCGTTCGATTAATGATTCAAAATTTCAAAACCTATTCCGCATGTCGGAAAAACCTATAAAACTATCGCTTTACCAAAAAATGAATGTTTCTGTATAATGTGTAATCAAAATTACAAAAAAAAGAAAGAAGGGAGAGAATGGGTTATAATATGCGAATTTAAAATGGCATTGATAATTTACCAAATCACAAACAAATTTTTATATATTAGATATATGTAAAGCGAGTTACGATATATATGTCTACTATTTTTCCATTGATTACTAAAAATAAATTCAAAAAATATTTTAAAATATAATGTATTGTATATAATCCTAATATACAATCATTTAATTAATTTGTATATAATTAATAATTATTCATTCCGGAAATAACTAAAAAAAATTAAAATTATTTTAGCACATTTTAAAAAAATTATGTGATTATAAATTGAAATTAAATTTTAATTCATTAAAAAAAAAAATATTTAAATTTAAAATCACATTTTTATTTTCCTATTTCTTCGTCTTTAAAATCCTTTAATCTAATTTCTTAAAACGATGCATTTTTTCAATGAGATAATTGGTGAAATTAATAAAATAAATATTAGAAAATTTTCTGATTTTGGCAAAACGATATATATATATATATATTATAAACAAGTATAGGGGAAACAGAGGCGGAACGACAAGTGTTTGTTCTTTTTCTACATTATTATAATTTTTCGTGGTTAAAAGTAAAATTTCTATTCGTTATCTACAACACTAGGTTACAAAATAAAATAATAAGCTCGCCATCCATTAGAATTTATGAGGTATTCTCACTTTCCTCAATAGAGATAAATAACATATTTTACCCCATTACCAGGGCAAAACGGAAGATACCCGAGATAAACCATTAATACAAATCATGATTAAATTTAAATGTTTTATTTCAGGCATATAAAATGAGCTGATGCATTAAAAATAAAAGCCATTTCTCATGCCGGACCTAATTTTTTAAAATGAGCTTTTTGGATTTTATAATATAATCCTTTACGTTAATATCAAAAACTTAAAAACATTCAATTTTCTCTAGACATATCAAAATCATCATGCAATCAAAAGGCCAGGGAGATTCAATAAAAAAATGGCATCTACATAATTTATTAAAAATTTTTATAAGGTTAAAAATTTAATAATGCCACCATTTGCTTAGATGTCTCCAATTATCCTAACTGAGAGTTAATTAACTGTTGATAAGTCTCAAAGGCTCTTCTACGTCTTTGCACAAGGACGTTTGTAACTCTTTTCGTAATTCCGCATATATTTCTGATTTGGTTAAAATCGATTCTTGATGAATACCATCCCAATCCCAAACCTTTATTCTCTTATCGAGCAACCATTTTTTTTATTGATTTTGATGAGAAAAATAAAGCTCTATCCTTTTGAAGCAGGTTTTCCTCTGCAGAATATAATTGATCAAAATTCCATTGATAAAGAACAACCATC